TGAGAAGTAATAATCCTTGCATCTCATCATATATATTCATTTTCATAGCAACCAACTTGTTTGCAAGACTCTGAAATAGGCTTATGTGCTCAATAATATTACCATCATCTTTATACTTCAAATTTACAAGCCTTCTGAGAAGAGAAATTTTATTTCCCATAGTCTTTTTTGCAAAGAGATTTTCTAACATTTGCCAAATAACATCAGCTCTAGTTTCATCTGAAATATGCTCATGCAAGTTTATATCCATCCATCTTCTAATATAGGCAATAGCTTTTCTATGTTGAACTTTCCATTCTTTATCGTCCATAGTAGAAGGTTTATCTTTAACTTTGATGGGCTTATATAAATCTTTACAATAAAGCGGATCTTCCATCATACGCTTCCAAGTGAAATAATTTGATAAGTTCAATTTAATCATACTATCTGACTGCTACATTTTAATCACATAAGAAAAAATAGCACCAAATAACCTATTGCTCTGATGCCACTTGTTGAGAAAAACCTATTAAAGCGGAATAATTATTTTCCTTTTTTGTGTATCAAAATGGGTTCCTCATCAAAATACCAACTTGATATCAAAATGCAAATATCAATCAGCACAATATATATAATAGAGCAATAAATCAATCACACAATGAGACCAAAATTTTAACATGAAAAATCTAATGTGGAAAAAATCATGGGACTATAGTCCACCTCAAACTTTCACTATTAATAGTAATGATAACAAGTTTACAGGAAATCTTATCTAGAATAGCAAGAGGATCACAATAACATCAAGATTATATATCTTGGCTCAAGAATAACATATTTTCATCACATAGATTGATCTCATCAATTCTAGGTTTCACATAGTGAGTATAGCATGAAAGTATCTCAGAGAAGGTAAACTAAAAATCAACATCATTAGGATTGTAGAGCTTACTGTAAGGATTATCTGCATAAAATTTGAACCAAAATTTACAATGTTTGACCGTCAAGCATAAAACTCAATATTCTAATTTTTCTCTCTCTATTATTTTCTCTCGCTACGCATGCTTGTCGTTGCTCTCTCTCTCTCGTACAGTCACAGGTCGCTGCCCTACTCTTTTGCTTTTAATTGCTAATTTGGGCTTATAGCCCAAATTGTCTAAGCCGGGCTGGACCCAACAGTTCAGTGATCCCATCATTATGATAATAGTAATACAATTAGCTATTATCATAATTGTTGTTAAATTACTATCACAATTATTGTTAAATTACTATCACAATTATTGTTGTAAAATAATTGTGATACTTATTTTACGTATTTTAAACTGCAATTCAGTTTGGCTTTTGTAGTTTCTGGCTATAATGCTTTTGAATCTGAATTACCTTAACAGTGAAGACAATCCTTATCCATCAAATTACTTGCTATTGCCAACCATTGTTCATTCTTAGCAGTGCAAAATCGCATAAAATACATTAACTGAGTTTGGATCATCTCTCATGTCATCATTAACAAGGAAATCACAAGTCTATTTTGATGATCTTCCAGTTTATACATTAACTTGTGCTAAAGCTTTAACATTTTTCATTTAACTTCATGCAGGTTCAACATTGTAGGCCAGGTAATTAATTCTTGATTTGTTGATCTATTATTCAAGTTCATCAGAGGTGTCAAAGAAACTGTCTTGCAGTGGGCTGTTACAACCAGTGTAGACTTCTCATTAGCTCAATTGCTTCAAGTAATTATCCTGCTCAGCACTGGTGGAAACAATGGAGGAGGATACTTCGCTTCCAAATATGTAGTCATTGGTTTCCATGGGGGCATTCTCTTAGTCCATGCCATAATAAACAGTCTTCCTATATCTTGGTTATCATTCGTTGGACAGTTAGCTGCTGCATGGAACGTAATAGGTATGAATGCATTTAGTGTCTTCATTGTTCCATATTCATCATGCAGATGCTTAATATGATGGCTTTCTTCAGGTGTTTTTGTACTTATGATCCTCATACCTACCGTTGCTACCGAAAGATCCAGTGCCAGATTTGTCTTCACTCATTTCAACACCCAAAATGATGCTGGAATCCACAGCAAACTTTACATCTTTGTTTTAGGACTTTTGATGAGCCAATACACATTGACAGGATATGATGCATCTGCTCATATGGTACAAATCCTTGTCTAAACCGATACTTCTGTATGTAGTTTTTGGCTTTCCATGATTGTTTGTGTTCTATTGAGCTTATCTCAACATTGTTCTTGAGGAAATGTTCCAAGCTACTACTCAGATTGTTGTTTTCAGACAGAGGAAACGAAATCTGCAGACAAGAACGGCCCGAAAGGAATCATTAGCTCCATCGGCATATCGATCATCGTCGGCTGGGCTTACCTGCTCGGAATCACATTTGCAGTCACCAACATTCCCGACCTCTTGAGCATTGACAATGATGCTGGAGGTTATGCCATTGCTGAGGTATTCTATCTGGCCTTCAAGAACAGATATGGCACGGGCGTTGGGGGAATCATTTGCTTGGGAGTTGTGGCCGTCGCCATATTTTTCTGTGGCATGAGCTCAGTGACAAGCAACTCCAGGTAAACATCTTCCTCTCCGAGTGATCGCTGAGCTCTATATCAACAACTCCTTTTGGTTCACTTGCTTTCTTGAGTTCAGGATGGCGTACGCCTTCTCGCGAGATGGAGCGATGCCTCTGTCCTCGTTTTGGCACCGAGTGAACCGACAAGAGGTCCCCATCAACGCGGTTTGGCTCTCTGCTTTGGTCTCCTTCTGCATGGCACTGACGGTATGTGTCTATCATCTTGGTGCTCTGCAATCCTCGCTCATGGCGGATCTCAACCTCACTCCGTTAGTTGTTGCAGTCTCTGGGAAGCTTGGTGGCGTTCCAAGCGATGGTGTCGATCGCCACCATCGGGCTTTACGTTGCGTACGCGATGCCAATCTTCTTCAGGATCACGCTGGCACGCAACTCCTTCGTTGCGGGGCCCTTCAGCCTCGGTCGATATGGCGTGATGGTGGGTTGGGTTGCTGTTCTTTGGGTAGCGACCATCACGATCCTCTTCTCCTTGCCGGTTGCGTACCCCATCACGAAGGACACTCTCAACTACACCCCGGTGGCGGTCGGCGGCCTGCTCATCCTCACCGTGGGATCATGGCTGCTGAGCGCAAGACACTGGTTCAAGGGGCCCATCACAAACATCAACACTTGAGAACTGAGTCGTCGTCGTCTTCCTCATTGGTTACAGAAAGCACAGTTGAAAGTTGTAGTTCTCAGTGACTGTTACCGGAATTTGAGCCATTACATTACACCAACTTTGTGCTGTGCCATTTTACGTGCAGCAGGAAGAACATGAGGAGAACAGAGTTGTTACGCTTCAAATTGAATTGTTGACTTGCCATGTATAAGAGGACTCCCTCTCGTGGATCACATCTTTCACTGTACAATTTAACAGGAAATATAAGCATTTAACTCAGTGACTTTAGGTGAAGAGGTGACATAGATCAAATAAACTTTGGCATTTCCATGTCACAAGCTTATGCTCACATCAAATTTAGGATGTGATGTTAGTCACCTTAATTTGCAGAATAAGATGGTTATCATCAAGTTCAAAGCTCAAGCAGTCTTTATGCACTTGATTCTCGTGAGATGGTTGATAACAGAGAGATTTCTTCTTATAACACTAAGGTTTCCTCAATTGCATAGTAGATAGATTTCCTCAACTGCACGAGAAAAAAATCCCCTCTTTCAGCATATATAAATATGCTTTTCTTTGCCTTTACAATTTTGGTATCAGAGCAGTAAGAAAAACGAGGCTTCGCCCCTGCTTCCAGCCAGCGACCACCGTCGCTGTAGCCACATTCCCAAGCAAGGTTTCGCTCACCTCCCACCTTCCACCTTCAACTCCTGCGTTGTCTACTCTGCTACGACCGCTTGGCTTCCTCGCGCTGGACCAGGCTCACCAATTCCTTACTACTGCGCCCGTGGGCTCCGCCAGTGCTGTGGAGAACTCCTTGTGCAGATCTGACGATCTCAACGTCGAACTCACCCTCGGAGTCTCTCTGTCACATCATATGTCGAGCCCTCCCTCCTCTTCTTTACAGTTGCACTAGTATTTGCAGACTAACTTGTCGCTGCCTTTCCCTCCCGTCTTGCGTGTTCCTCGTCCCCCGACGGTCACCTCTCCCTCAAGGATGAGGGCGGAAACGAAGTGTGATGCGCGGGCCCTGCCAATGCCTCCGCCATCGCTATCCTCGACTCTGGCAACGTTGTCCTTACTACCTCTGGCGACATCCTATGGCAGAGCTTTGATCTTCCTACGGACACGCTCCTGCCAGGTCAAGTCTTGGTCCTGGAGAGGACCTCGTCTGAGTGCAGGACTGCCATCACTTCCCTCCCTGCCTCTGATCAGTGATCTGATCACTTAGCGATCAGATTCCTATCATTGCCAATGGCAGGCATTGCATCTTGCTCCACCACTGCATCTTGTTCCACCTTCTTCGCCTCGACAAGCAGCATCCAGAATCATTTCCATGCCAATTACTACATCACTGCATCATTGCTATGCAAAGGAAAACAATGATCCTCGACAAGGAAGTACGCACTTCACTGCCTAAATTCCCAGCTATAGAACTACTGTACAGAGATCTGCAGCTTTACACAATATTGCATAGGTCTTCTCCTTCAACGAAGATCTCATTTGCCAACAACCCACCTCAAGTGACACTGATCTGCACCAACACCTCTTCCTCCCTAATAATTGTCATCGCTGTAGACTTCTAGTTGCTCCCACATATTGGTACATATATTTCATATATCCTCATCATCTACCTCTGATGCTCCAATTACTATTCCCGTAGGGAACCATAGTACTTTCCCACATACATGCTTTATCTCCATAAATGCAGCAACCCTCATTCCCTTCAAATTATCCAAATGTGGCAACTGCGCATCCTAGTGTGCTCAATTCTCTAATCTACTATTTGGCTATGATCTTCTATGCTATGTTGATGACTCTCTTCATTGTCCACCGGTGATGCTCAACATCCCAAGCGCACCCAATCCAGTACCAAATTTGGACCACAAATTATGGTTACGCTAGGATTGTCTTATCCTTCAAGTAATTCAAGCCTCAGTCACTAGATCCCTCGCCCCACTCATTTCTTCATGTGACACTGCTGTCGAAGCTTAGTGCAAGTTGCAAACCACCCTAGCCAATCATTCCCACACTCGCATGCTTAGTCTCCTATCCAGTCTCATGAAGATAAAACAAGAGGGAAGTACTGTTACTGATTATCTACACAACATAAAGATTATCATCGATAACTTAGCATTGATAGGTCATTCCCTCAGTGATGAAGAAGTTACTGTCCATATCCTCAAGAACCTAGGAGACGAGTACAAGGAATTGGCAGTAGCAATACGGGCACATGATTCATCAGTGTCATTCGAAGAACTCTACGACAAGCTGTCTGACTTTAAGATATATCTAAAGCGTGAGGACAAACTACCAAGACCATCCATCATAGCTCAAGTCAATAAAAAATCTTCAAGGAGGGACAATCCGTATAACAAGATTGTCAACAAAGGTTTGACCAAGTCATCTTCTGAACCTATGAGCTCCAAACAAATCATTCCTCCTCCTCATCATCAATATACCAATAACACAATCTACAGTTCCTAAACATCTAATAACATCACGCTCAAAAAGTAATATCTTTAAATCATGCTAAGTTCTCGACCTATATGCTATCACCAAATCCTCTCATGAGACCAGTGAACCCACCATAATTACTCAAGCCCAAAAATCTTCACATTGGCGTAAAACCATGTGTGAAGAATATGATGCTCTACTCCATAACTCCATATGGACTCTTGTACATTTTCATCCTACACAAAACATCATCGGGTGTAAATAGGTCTTCTGAATTAAGTGGATGTTGGGCTGGCAGCCCAAAGTGGGTTCAGCCCATGGTGGGCTTTATCAGCCCACAACCCACACCCCTTTGACCTAACCTTAGATCAATATAAGGGGGATGTGGGGGCTACGTTTTAGACGCAGAAAAGAGGCAGAAAAAGACAGCAACGTGGGTAGCAACGTTGACATCCTCATAGCAACAAAGAGAGAAGAACAAGGCAGAAAAACAAGAGAAAGAAAGGGAAGAAGACAAGGACAACGCAGAGAGACTGTTCTCAATCATCTAGCACTGTTCTCATCTCAGGTTAGATCAAATCTACAATAGACTCTTGCTGTGATTACTTGGGGAGGTTTTAGATATTGTGGGCAGTGACGTGATTCTTGTATCCCAGTTATTCTCTTGTGGTTGTTGCTAGGGTTTTGGGCAAGAGATTGAGATTTGTATATTCATTATTCTCATAGTGGATTATCTCTAGTTTGCCCCGTGATTTTTACCCTTCACATTGAAGGGGTTTTCCACGTATATCTTGGTGTTCTGTTTGATTATATTTCCATTTTATTCCGCTGCGTATTATGGTCTTCTAATATTTGTTCATATACAAAGGTTATTCCTCTTAATATCCCCATCAACTGGTATCAGAGCGGGGTTTTGGTGATTTAATTTTTGTATTTGAACATGGAGGCCAGTAATGTTTCTTGCATGATTAGTTTGAATGGAAATAATTGGATGATATGGAAACCAAGAATGGAAGATCTCTTGTATTGCAAAGATTTGTATGGACCTTTGCAAGGGGATAGTGCAAAACCTACAACTATGACAAATGATGAGTGGAAGAGGTTAGATCGAAAAACAATTGGGTTTATTAGACAATGGCTTGATGATAGTGTCTTTCACCATATTTCTACTGAAATTTCTGCATATTCTCTTTGGAAAAAATTGGAAAGTCTCTATGAAAGAAAAACAGCTAGCAACAAAGATTTTTTGATCAGAAAACTTGTGAACCTAAAATATAGAGAGGGTGCTTCTATTGCTGAGCATTTGAACGAAATGCAGAGTATTACTAACCAATTATCCTCTATGAAAATGTCTCTTGATGATGAGTTGCAGGCATTGTTACTTCTCAATTCATTACCAGAAAGTTGGGAGACACTGGTGGTTTCCCTTAGTAATTCTGCGCCAGATGGTATTGTCACTATGAGTCAAGTAACAAGCAGTTTGTTTAATGAGGAGTTGAGAAGAAAGAGTTTGGCAATATCTCAGAATGATTCACAGGCACTTATCTCAGAGAACAGAGGAAGGTCAAAGTCTAGAAGCAGTTCACGTATGGGTAGGAGCAAGTCAAGATCAAGAAAAGATATTGTTTGCTATAACTTGTTGGGAAATCATTGGGGGCGACATCACATGCACAGCGGAAGAACAAGAAAACAAAATCCCCGATTCCCAAAAAGATGTTCGTCGTCGTGCGAAGATTGGTATGCAAAAATCCGCGAAACATGAAACTGCGTATAGAGTAGATTGTGTTACCTAGGGAGATCGTATATCCCTGTTTCCTTGCAGATCCTTAGGAGAGGGTAAAGGAGGTCAAACGTCCTCCTCTCTAGCGGTGATCCACACAGCAGGGTTGCGACGACGCTCCTCAAAAACTCCAGGCCTGATCTGAGGTGGAGAGGAAGAGGAGAATAGGAAAGGCAAGCAAAGGCTCTAGCCTATGAGGCTCTGAATCCCTCCTATTTATAGAGGCCCCCTGTCAAACCCTAATGGGTCCTCCCCTAGTGGATATTGGATCTGCATCTAATAAGACAAGGGCTCCATCGGATATCTCATATCTGAACCTCTACTCATCGCAATGCCTACCATATGTGTGTGACCCTCTAGGCCCAATATCGAGCTGGCCGTGAGTCATACCTGTCAGAACTCCTTCTAACTCAGTGAATTATTATCTCTGTAATAATTCACTTGACTCATCGACTACGGAAGTACTAGGCCACTACGCCGTAGTCCCCAGACGATACAGGGGAATCCAATCTATTGGACCTGTCTGTCCTCAATTACCGTGTACCTATAATCCCTCATCCATCTAATATCCCAGAGACCGTATATCGAGCATGGTGCTGTCAGACCCATACAATTTCTACTCGAATCTCGCTCTAATCGGATTCTCCCGGAGAACTCTTTCTCTCTCAACCTGAATGACCCTAGCCAGGGATTTGTCTGAGCAAGAACACATGGGATATTCCTCTCATGATGCCGAGAGTGGATGATCCTCTATCGACACTCAATACGGCCCTCGG